ATTCCTGAGCGACACACAGAAGACCTCGGCTGTTTTTTTTTTTTTAGACAGCAAATTTAAGTATACTGTCTAAGACAGAAATCCCAAGGTGCACTCTGACATACAGGTAAACTCTCAGACATTTGGTCCAAATACAAAGGGATTCTTTTTGTCATCTTTTTCAAAGGTCAGGTATTTCTTTGCTGCTTTTCAAAAGGCCGACTTCACACAACAGTGGATAAGAGAGGTTTATGTCTGGTACCGTAATTCCCATTTCTTTAAACACACACAAACACTGTATCCCTACACACTCTTTACTGTGCGTGCATAAAGTCAGCTTGGCTCAGACGAGCACATTGAGCATCTTGCTGAACATCCTCATGGTATGAGAGATGGAGGGATGTAGGGCTGAGATCTGCTACTTGCTTGGCTTTGTTGTCATACTTGGCTTTTAGAAAATATATGATGTTATTATGTGGTGTTGTATATGGTAGCTTTTGTGAGGATTTGTCAAAAGATGGTCTGTTGCAAATTTGGCTATGTTTTGACAGTGTTCATGGCCGCTTGAGACTGTATAAGGTTTTATAATTAATTCTTACAAGCAAATTCAGCATATGCATAAATCTGGTCACCATGATAGGCTGTCAGGTCCAATCATTATGATCTTCCAAGAACTCAGCAGATACAACAAAGCTGTTTCATAAGGCATGAAACAGTATTCCACACACCAAGACTGGTATCAATACATGAATCATTTGCTTCCCCCAACAGATAAAACAACAATACTGACCAACATCCTGCCTTTTTTCACGTTTCCATCTAACACTTTTCATGCACACAAAAAACCTTTCCAACAATGCTCTTGCTACTTACATCGCAGGCCAACATGCTGTGCATCACCAACCAACAATCACATTTATTTAGATTTTCTACTCGTGTCTTTCTGAGGTGGTCCCTGAAAGTTGACCTACAACCCTGCAGAGTCTTTAAACCTCCATTTGGATGATATTGTGTTGCCTTAATGTGTGTGCATGTGTGCTCGTATCTCTTCAGGGAATGCGTGTCCCTTCAGCAGATGTCCACGTAGCCCTAAAAGCTCCATAGCCTTAGGCGGTCAATCTCCTTTATGGGGCATGAAGTTGAGAGAATGAGGTGCATTGTGGTGAAGGACAGATAAAGGGAGTGTGTCCCACAGTTTGATTGTGAATGTGAGCAGCCATTTTGACTTGTTCTACTGCTGCCTTCGAGTGCCCTTCAGCAGCCTCGACTTCAAAGTACAAAATCATAGGAGAAAGGAGATGACGTGCGATGGCAGCTACTTTCAAATGACTAAAAATGAGAGCGATACACTGTGGGAGGTTACCCAGTCCAACTGCTGCTATGTGCTGACACTGAAATCAGTCATCGTCTCTGTTGAAGTTGCATTTATTTTTTGATTCAAGTAGGTTTCATTCTCCTCCCAGCGTCTCCTGTTGTCTCCAAAAAGTGTTTTTTGTTATATATTCCCTGACTGAACTGTACATCACACATGATGGATTCATGGGCTGTGAAAAACACACTCTCTCGATCTGAAGGATGGTATAGTTATGGCAACCTTTTAAAAAAGAAAACATTCCTTTCAAACCCACTGATGTGTTTCGGAGTTTAGACTGTAAATGTTTGGTAGAAGTTATGTTGTTGTGGGTTTTTTGTAATAGTTTCAAAATAACAGCATTTAAATAGTATTAATGAAAAATAGCAAAAGTGATTTTTTATTTATTTTTTTGTCTTCCCTCATTTGAAGTCACCCATTTGGATGGGCAGCACCCCTGACATTCACCTATAATGCCTATACCATGGGCCAGGTCTAGACAGAATAATGATATTGGACAGTGTTGTATATCTTCATATTATTCATGGATGCTGACTAACTGCATATCAAAAGGTGCCCTGAGATTTTGACCCAAATCTCTACAGTGGAGGTCGTCTTGCTCAGACATTCTGTTCTGTAGTGGCATCGTGACATATTTATAACTGCAGCCAAAAACTGGGGAGTCAGACTACAACAGAGGTTGCAAGTATAAGGTTAGCATGAACCATAGAGCCACAATAGCAACATAAATGGGACAGGCTAAACTAGAATTATCTCAGCTTCCAGACATATTGCTGCTATGTGTTAGTAAAATGGGGTTTAAATTCTTTTTTATTATTTTCTTTTATTGTTTATTTTTGAAAGTGTTGTCTGTCTGTGAAGATCGCCCTAAGTCGGCTGGAATAGGCTCCAGCCCCCCCGCGACCCCAGTGAGGATTAAGCGGTGTATAGATAATGGATGGATGGATGGCTGTGAAGATTCTCAGTCATCCAGGTCATGGTCATTTTCGTAGTTTGATCGTAACAACTGGACTTGCTTGAGTTTCTTGAAGATGTTTCACCTCTCATCCAAGAGGCTTCATCAGTTCTGACTGACGAGTTGGGAGATCCAGATACTGATATCCTGAAGGAGCCATTAAGACTTGAGTTTAAAAAGTGGGGAGGTACATAAAAAAACAACAACTACAGAGCAGGAAATAGACTACATGAAACAACCTAATTCTAGAACGTTTTCTACGTTCCGAGTAGATTAATTCAAGGCACCTGGTGAAAATTCCTGTATTTTTCATATCACAAAATATTGGAGATTTATTTATTTATTTTTTCAGAGTCATGCAGCTTCACAGCAGAGCACTGTATTGTAATGAGATGCTAAATGTAATTCTGTCTACCTGTCAGTAGTTTTGATTTGGTGACTGATTGCTGTGTCTTTTCTGACAGTATTGTGTCGCAGCATTATTTGTAGTGAACATCTGAACACTGAGCATTGACTTTTGGGATTCCGCAACCAGATTTATGTAAATAAGTAAAAAAACAAATAAACTCTGATTTCATTGAGTGCCGCAATAGCTCACTAGGTTGAGTTGGTATCAGGCAACAGTCCCGATGTGGAGGTCGTGTGTTTGAACCTGGCTCACGGCTGATTCCATTTGGGCTGCAGGGTGGTGCAGTTGGTTAGCACTTACATAATATAAAAAATCCCAAAATAAGCAATGAGAAGTCCAGTAGAACAACCTTACCACGTTAAGCGCTATGTGATGACATGCAGCGCCCTCCATAATTATTGGTTTAATTACAGGTTAAGATGTGTTAAAAGCCTTAAAATAAATATCAATATTTTATTGCAGAAGCGTACTCTCACACTGAAAATTGTAGAAAAATGTGACCTTCAACTCAATTTAAATGAATTGTTGGCAAAAGGAGGTTGTACAAGTATTAGCATCAAGGGTGCTGATAATTGTGGCACACATGGTTTGATGTATTATTTTTTAATGTGAGATTTTTTTTCACACTGAATAAATGCACTTGAATTAAAGGTTGAATTTTCCTCTTTTTTCAGTGTGGTCCTATATTATTTAACTGAATTTACTAGAAGCTAGAGAACACATCTTAACCAGGGGTGCCAATAATTATGGAGGGCGCTGTATGTTGTAAACTGTGCTATACCAATGAAATGGAATTGAATTGAAAAAAAGAACTGATTGCACAGGGATGTACTCACTTCTATTGGACACTGTATGAATCTGAGACACTGAAACAACAGACACCTACTGAAAGTCAACCAACTGAAAAACCTGAACTACTGACATGATGCACATTTGTTTAATTAAGAAAATGAAATTATAAAAATATTCATATGCCATTCAGTTAAACTAAAAGAGTGTCACTGTTTGACAGGGGTGTCACGGAGTGTTGATTCTTTTACCTCATAAATTGAGTTTGACAGAGTACAGGCACCAAACTGACAACAGACAAGTTTCATTTTGGTCTGCATAAAACTCAGTTCATGCACGCTAAAGACAAGAACCTGCAAGAATAACAATAACTGATCTAAGTTGTGGTTCAGCAAACAGGTCCAGACATAAGCACTCTATGCAGCAAAATAACAAGGCAACAGTAGCAGCAGTGGTCCTAAGAATCAATGTGGACTGTCTGCTACTGTAGTGCTACACTCGTGAGAAGTCCCATTAAGTACACTTGGCTCCACTGGAACATTTGATGTACTGGCACACAAACACAAGACTTATTAAAGAGCTGCACCCAAATAGACTGAGTGTAACTTGGACCCTCTCGGTTGGAGCCCTGGGTTACTACACAGTGATCTGTTGATCCTCGTGTCCACCTGGAACCTTAAGAGTCATTTGTGTTGAGAGAGAACATTGGATTTCTGTGATAGAAAAATGTTCTGATTTGCTAAAGGGAATGAGCAAACCAAATGATCCCCAGCTGCAGCCATGAGCGGAATGAATATTTGTGTTTTTTTATTATTATTTCTTTGTTCACTTCAGTCTCATAGAGGATCAGAGGTTAAACAGGTCTGTGAGGATGGGGCATCACCTCTTCAACCAGTGGTGTTGCTCTGTACTTGATCATATGTAATTCTATTCAGTTTAAATAAATGTTCTACTTCCAGCCCCCGTTTACAACATAAGTCATACATATTATATTTTCTAAGAATGTGATGAAATTTGAAATGAAGGGAGTGGTTGTCTCATTTATTTTGGGACTTTTTCTTGAATTAATTTGGGAAATCTTTAGTTTATATTTTCTTAAAGGGGCAATGCCGTTGTAAATGTTAGATAAAAACTATGTTCTAGACTTACATTAATAAATGTCCTTTCTGGTACTGCATAGAGCATACCTCTTCTGGAAGGACTGTGCCACAGACTCAAAGGTAGTTCTACACATTGCTTGGGATAAAATCCATTTGTACTTTTTCTCGATCCTGTTTGCTCCTGTTTCTTAGGTACAGGTTTGGTTTAAAACGTTCCAAATGTTTTTTTGGAGAGTACTGCAATGATGTACAGTTTTAGTGTACAAGTTAATTATTGTCTGTGGCAATGTATTCTATTTTAGTTTACAGATGTTATTAATTAATTTGAACCAGTAATTAGGATTCCTCCCAGTGGAGTTCTCACGAAAGCAATCCTTCTCTTTTCTGCACTGGCAGGTTTCCCTCCTGCTCCAGACCTGTTAGTGATCCAGCTGCAGATCCAGATGATGGGGCTCCTGCTGTGTCTGCTGGTCCTCAGCTCAGTGACCCTGAAGGAGGCTGTGGGTAAGTTGCACTTTAACACCTGGATGTGTTTAGACTGACTGTTAAATCAGTGTTTAGGTTTAAGGATGTGGTTTGCCATGTCCATAATAAAATCCAATTTCAACTCTCTTGTATCTGAAGCCAAACGGCTCCCGCCATGTTCCTCTCTCTCTGTCCTGCTGGTATTACACATGTCTGAGCTCGGGCTAATGGGAAACTAAACTCCAACTCTGCTCAGAATATCAATATTTATCGAGGATTGTTTCCCCTTTACTGTATGCAACTGAAGAGCAGAAGGCCCTGTGCAATGTCACTTAAAAGTCAAATTATTCAAAATTGGGTCACCTTACAGGGATTGCATTACTTCTTAGTAAACAGTAGAGTGTTTTCTTTAGTTTGGATTTCATATATTCAAAGTACAGGCCCCGAAGTAGGAACTTAGTGCAGCAAAATCATTACTCAATTTCAAATCTTTTTTTTTCTCTACTTCCTGTGTCTACCTTTTTTTGATGATGGACTCAAACCTCCTTAGAATTGAGGATATCAGTGTTGTATACATTTCTGGAGAGATTTTCTGTCATTTTTGAGAGATTTTCTTCAGCTGTCGTTTGCCAGAAGGCATACTTGGCCAGGTCATAGTGCTCCCTTTTGTCTTATTTAGAAACTCTGGTGGGATTTTGGGAGTGTACTATGGATCGCTTTCATGCTGGACAATGAGCCAAAGTACACTGCCAAAATCTTCTCATCTGCCAAGCTTCATCAGACTGAGAGCCTTCCTGTCAGTCAGTGTTCTGGTATATTCACAGGCATTCATGGTGTGTCTATAAATGTCATTTCCCCAACACTCATACAGCCCCAGATCATCACACTCATTCATTCACACACATTCATTGTGGTACAGTTAGCCTGGTTTACACCATACATCCAAAAACCCTTCTGAGCTTAACAAATGTATCTTGGTATCATCTGACTGAAGAATTTGCTCCTAGTATTCATCAGACTGTTTTTTTCATGTTGTTTCCAAAAGTTGTATCTTGCAGTTCTGTACTGAAAAGCAACCAAGGTTTTTTTTTTCATGGACACCATCCATGGAGGTTGATGTTGTGTAATATCCTTCACACTGTCTGAGTTGTCTCAGAATGTTGAACTGATTTCCATCGATAAGCCCAGTGCCAAGTCCAAAGCACTTTCCTGTCTGTTATTCAGAGCTTGATTGTGGAAGTACTGCGTGATCCATCGTCTCATTTTAGGAGGACTGCAGTCCTGATTAGTAGATCTTGGCTCATCCAATGCTTCCTGATTACTGCTGCAGCTATGTTTTAACTGCTTTTTAGATGGTCACCGATCATCCTTTAATCTTTCCCATCATGGCGAAGTCTCACAGTCATATTTTTCAATCACTCTTCTTTTCAATGTGATGCAGTGATGCAGACAGACAGTGCACTTAGTTTAGTTTCACTAATCGGGGTGTGTTCCCTTGTGTTGCACTCACTGTGACGGCCCGAGCTCTGTTGCTGTGCGGGCGGACCCAAACGAAAAGGGAGGCAGGAGAAGAGAGGTTAAAGGAAACAGGTTTTATTAACAAAGAAGGGGGATGGTGGAAACCAGGTGAAGGGATCTGGTGCAGGGATGCCAGTCGTGGGGGGTGTAGGAAGGGGGTCGTCTGTGCCGAGGTCCGTAAAGGAGGATTCTGCCAAGGTTGTGCTGGGAGGGAGCCCTGGAGGAGGATACCGAGAGTGGTGCGAGGAAGTCCGGTGCTCAGGGGACGGTGCTCGTGAGTGGTCTTTCCCGTGGAGGTTTTCCTGCTGGAGGTGCTCAAAAGATGATCCGTCTCGTGAAGGTGCTCGTGATCGTGGGTTCCCGTCGTGTAGGTTCGTGGGTGAAAGGCTGACGTGCCGGGTGGAGCGCTGAGTGCTGGAGCCGAGGAGTGATGCTGGAGATAAGCAGAGATACACACAATAAGCTCGAAAACTCAAAACCACAAACTTAGCTAAAAATGCTCAGCGAAGTGTAGCAGCTAAGCAGCCTGACTGTACCACTGGGGATGTATCACAATCATCTGGCGCTGGAGTCCTGTGCGTATTTGAAGGGAGGACCAGCTGATGAGCTGATGATCCACAGCGGCCAGCGCGAGAGCGTCCTTCTCCGATTGGCTCCGCCCAGCCTGCAGGGTAAAGAGAGGCACGCCCACCAAAACACCAAGACAGAGAAAAACCAAAAATACCACAAATACTTCATAGCCCTCACACTTACGTTTTACTCACACTTAGGTTTTACTTTGGGGCCTGCATTTTTAATATGGTCTTTCTAAAGTATTTGTTTTAGATCATTTATAAGAGAAAGTGTGAATATTGAGTGTTGAGTCATTTTTGAATCATTTCAAAGAATCGACAGAAGTCATATTGCATAGCAGAGTAGTAGTAGATTATGAAAATAATAAGGACAGTGTCTACTCAAATGTGACTAACTTGATGGTCAAAATTCTAAAGCAAATCAGTCATACATGGATTGTTTTTCAAAATATAGTATCACTGATATTAATTTACAAATGTTATCTGCTACAGTATCTGCTCTAATCCTGTTCCCCTCATAGTGCCCCATGTTCTGTGTATTTCAGTGTGAACTCTTAATTTTCCTTATTCAGATTTCTGTCTTTTCTGTTTGCTGATATTTGATAAGATATTACAGATAAGACTGAGCCGAGGGAAGTTTAAAGACAAGCAGATTAGGGATGGGAAGTCTCCAGCCACCTGTGGGTGTTTGGGGAAAAAAAAAAAAAGGTAGGAAGTAGGAAGCTTTAGTAGGAAGATAAAAGAAAAGGATGAAAAGGAAAAACAAGTTCTAAATGTAAATGTCATGATAGTATTCAGTTGTTTCACTTAAAGCTGCATTAAATGCTTAAAGTAATTGAATAGTTGAGGTAGTTCAAACTTTTTCCTTATTTTTTCAAAAATCTATTAATTTCAACTTTTTGAGTTTTCATTACTTTGTTTTTTAGTGAGGAAATCAAAGTGATTATTTATAAAGAACTTGAACTAGTAAAATTTGCAAACTATTATTGTTTTAGTAATATCAATCAAGTAAGACAAGTGTGATCAGGAAAACAGGAAGAAGGAGGTTAAACCTGCAGACCAACTGTTTGTCTGCTGTAGTCTGTACGTGTTCATTCGTATTGTCCTGAGTGAGGCTGGAGGGTCGCCGGCTGATGGAGCCACACTGGGCCCAGAGGCTCAGCTACAGAAGGCCTCCTTCACTGTCAGTCTCTCTGCTGCTCTAACAGGAGCTCTTTCTGGCAGGAGCCGCCTGTCTCCAGGAACACCAGCAGCGTGGTTTTTGGGTTTGGTTCGGTTGTTTTTATGCATCTTTTGATTGGTTTTGGTTCACATAAATCTTTTTAGTCACCACACAGTTGTTGTCTCCCTGTTTGTTTTGCTACAGTTTTTAGGCCAAGCTGTAACAAAAATGTTTTTCTTTTTAACCACTTTGCCCAATTAATCAGTTGCAACTGAACAATATAAGTAAAAGCTATAACAGGAACGTTTCAGTGGTAGCAATGCAGCATGCTAGTGGTATGTCCATGTACTGTTTGTCAAATTTGTCATATTGTTGTTGTGACTCCAAGGGATAGAAGCAGTTAAGGTGAAAAGATAAGTTTGTTGTATTCCCATGTGAGATGCTGTTGCTCAGTTTATTATTCTTACTGATACAGATGATACTTTAACAATACTGTTATTGATACTTTTGATTGTCTTTAAAAAAAAAAAGTGAAAGAAAGAAATGAAGAACATTGTTAAGATAGTTTTATTTTCTCATATGTGCTGTATGTAAATGGAGATTCTTGAGCAGCACTCTCCAACAGTCATTATTTACAGCAAAACCAACAGAACAATTCACTGGACAGACGCTAACGTTGTGGTGAAAGTAGTTTCAGAGCACTGTGGACACAGTCACAGTCTATATACAGACAATATATATGAAATAAAAGCCTAAGGTTGGTTAGAGGTTAGTTACAGATAAACTAAGAGCTAAACAGTCAAACGGCACCTCTTCACCTATATGAGAGTCTGTATGTAACTTCTGTTGGATGTTTCTACACACTGATTGTTTTACATGTTAAAGGCTTCAAAACAAACAGTAAAAACTGCTGCACTAGCGAGCAGACTTTCCTCTCTGTCTGCAATCATTTTCTCATTCTGCTTCTTTTATGGTATTGCACACTGACAGTGCAACTGAACAACAACCTGTTGAGTGACTGGCTGCTTGTTATCAGGGATATCGTTGTTTGTTTTTGAGGCAGGGAGGGAGCTTGGTCTGTGATGCAGTTTCAAAGACAGGTTTGGTTGCATTAACAAAGTGAAGTTAGCAAACACTCCATTAAAAATGTTCTTATATTATTTTAGAAAATGACTATTGATGGATACACATCATTGGAGTTTTATCGTCCAGGCCTAGTTTGCAGTAATAAACATATGATGCAAGTCAACAGCAGTGACCATCAGTCCCATTTAGATGTTCAGTGATTCTGTTGTTTCATTTGACAAGGAAATTGACTACATTACTTGTTACTAAATTACTGGAATTACAGTTGTACATGGCTTATGGGTTATTTCATCTCTGATCATCAGAGGTTTAGAAGAATTTCTGCTTGACCATAGTTTTCTATCATTATATTTATATCTGAAGAGTTCATTTGCAAAAACAGGTAACTTCATATTTGTAGATTTTCAGAAAACTTTTAGTTTTGTTGTTGTTTGCTTGAGATAATATCAATCAAACTGAAGTTGAGTGGATTTGACTCAGTAGAAATGACATGATAAAAATAGAGATGATTTAAGTTTGATTGATATTGTCTCAGGTCGACGAAAGAAAAGTTGGTTTTCTGAAGGTTTGTGAAGATTGAGTTATCTGTTTTTGCAAATGAACTCTTCATATATAGACACACACACACACACACACACATATATATGAATCAATTTGCAATGCTTCAGAAAACATGCTGATATTACATTGACTTTTTGGTCCATTTAAACAAGGATATCTTTCCAGAATTAGTCATCAGTTTGTATTTTGCAAAGCTGAAGTTTGGGGATAATGGAATCAAGTTACCAGGACCCAACTATACAGGGGAACCTAACAATGAATAAAGGAATTTTCCCCGCGGGGTAAGGAAATTATATTTGTCTGAAAAGGAAGCTGTTGCTGTTGGTTGAATTAATAGTTCCTGCAGACTGTTTCTTGTATCTGGGCCACTGAAGGGTGTTTGTGGATTAGTCCTCTTCTACAGACTAATTGAAGAACGTTGTTTGTCTCCTGACTGAAGTCAGTGCTGAGGGAGCACAGAGTTAAGTTTGAGAAACGTCCATATAGAGTTGCAGCTGTATCATCACCATCTGCTTATGTCACTGATGGTGTCAGACAAGCTTGGCTCATAACGTTGATGCTAAAAGCCATTTCATTAGATATTAATAACAGTATGCTGAAAAATGAGGCAACGAAATGCTGGTATTTCAGATTGTGCAGATTTGTTGGCTGCTATGAACCACAAAAGAAGCTCACTCCTTCCTGTCTAATGTCTCACCCTGTCTTAATGACAATGAACTAATTCTCATGCAATCTAAATTTGAATTGACTTGCATCTGCGTTCACAGGCATGAAGGAATTCATCTAAAATGTGAAAGCAAATCTACATGATTAGATCTCATTCTAATGAGCAACAAATACACCTCAACAGCAGCATTTTGTAATGATATCAGTGATCATTGTGCTATTTACTGTGTAAGAAAATCAAACTTACCTGTGCTGAAACATTGATGGGTTTTTAAAAGGTGTTTTAAGTGATTTGAGGAACTGGCATTTCTGATCATGATCTGCACAGTAGTGGTATTGGGAGAGCCACTTAAATATGAGATGGTGAGTGTACATGGGAATATTTTTGGAACCCTTTCATGTCCATTTGCAATAACCATGCTCCTATAAAAACACTCAGGTGGACAATCCTTGGTTCATGGTGGAACTATCTAACCTACTCAGTGAAAGGAGCACTGCCTGGGCTAAGGCCAGAGTCACTAACTCCCTGCAGCTTTTTGTTGCTGCCTAGATTTTCACATTTCACTACATTTTATATCCATCTCAGTGTCTAGGGCACACAGTGGTGTACTTCTGGTTTGTTGGCCCTCATTAAGCCTGAGAAGACAGCAACACTGAAATATTTTGATTTCAAGGAATAGTGTGTAAACTCTTGTCTTATTTGTGTGATTTTCTATCACTTACCAGCCTCTGTTCTCATTTTTTGCTGGTCTGGCTGCTATACCGAGTACCCACGATTTGCTCTGAACTTGGTGGAGTGGCCTTTCTCCTATTTTGCTCCCTTGTCCTGGAATGGCCTTAATGTTACTTACAAGAAGCATTGAGATAATGGGAAACCTAGCAGCAGAACTTAATGAAAGTGTCAGCAAGCCCATTGTTTTTTCAGAGCAAAGAGGGGTTTTCTCGTCAAGTCATTGCTGAACTGAGGGCTTCTAGGGGTCAGTGTATGAAACTCTAGAGTGGATCAGTGTCAGACCAAAAGAGACTACACCGCCAGAACACCAGGACATAACTGGGAAATAGAAAAGCAACTTTGCCATGCATAATTTACTAAATAAAGAACACCAGACTGCAATCAGCAAAAGTCTTGTCAAGGGATGCAAATTCAGCATTTTTCTAAACAGTTATTTGGCAGCATTATCAATCAATAATCCATAATTAATTATTGTAACTAAAGTAGACCTTATCCCATATGCTCATGGGGTATTTTTTAACCACAGTCACATGATTTTTGCTACAATATAAACCAATCAATGAGAACTAGCACTCCCTTCTCCAGAGGCATGTTCCACCCTCTGGTCTGCAGCTTTGTGGAGGAGGATTCATACTGCAGCGGGATCATGAGCCCAAATATGCCTCAAAGCTTTGACTTAAACACTAAAGAAGACCAGCAAGGGCCACTGCTATAGCTCAACCGGTTGAGCTGGTGACCCATGTACTGGGCCTATAGTCTCCAACACAGCGGTTGTGGGTTTGAATCCAGCCCATGGCCATTTGCTGCAGGTCCCTCCTTCATTCTTCTTTCCTGTCTCTCTCTCTACTGTCCTTTCAAATAAAGGCCAGAAAAATAACTTTAAAAACAAAAGAAGACCAGCAAGTGGTGACTGTCCTGAGCTTTTTTTTCACAGCCGCCTGACTTCAACCCCATTTAACATTTATGGAATATAAACATTTCTAACATGTCATGAAGCTCTTTGGAACATCATGTCTCATTAGGCTGGAACAACATTGCTTATCCGGTGTGAACAAACCAGTGGAGTTTGTTCTCCAGCAGCTAGAGTGCTTCTGTAATTAGGCTAAAGAAATGCTAACAAAATATGTCCATTCATATGATTATTATTATTCAGATTTGGGTTTGATTATGTATAGGTGTATTTGAGTAGTTGACATTTTGATACAAACAAGTAAACAACAACAACAAAAACTACCGTCAATTTGGCCAATCAGAACAGAATGGGCTCATTTGGGAGAGCATTAAAAAACTACATCAATCTGTTTCAGTGAAGAGATGAACTGAGAGACTGAGATTGTATAGCTGGGAATGTCTGTAACATTTTCCCTTTAAAATGTGTTTTTCCAGGTGGAGATGTGTGTGTGTCAGGACACGACAGCGGGCCAGTGTTTGAAGAACAGCCAAGCAGCTTAATTTATCCAGAGGGCATGACAGAAGGCAAGGTGACCCTCAGCTGTCAGGCCAGAGCCAACCCAGCTGCTTCCTACAGGTAGGAAACACACATGCACTGTTTCTCTCAGACAAATTGACCTGGTTCCTAAACAATGTTGAAGTCACAGAGAGCAAAATTAAAAAAATGAAAGTCTCATTTGGGAACTTTGGGAGTTAAGCAAGTTCAAGAGTTCCTCTACAATTACCTAAGAAATCAATCACCTTCTCATCCATGGTCAAGGAAGGCTCAAACTCAGAGAGGACTGTCCTACTATAGCCACTTGATTACCAAATATGATGTTTAAACAACTAAGGACAGCAGTCTTTAACTTGCACTATAAAAGATGTTGATCTCCTTTTCCCATTTTCAACCTAAACCTAACATTCCATCCTAATGGCTACATTGTGCAACTATTAACCTTTGAAAAACAGACAGGTAAGTGCTTACGGGTATTAATATGAATCAGAGTTTCTGTTACAACTCAGATGAACATCATTTCTATTGACGGCATCCAAGTTTGCATGTTTGGTAGTCCTGGCTTGGTTCTTGCTGCTGGGATGCATAGTCCCGACACTGAAGCACAGAGGTTGGAATGAGACGATAAGGGGATACTTCAGCACAAAACGTGTTGGGTTGATGACTGAGGATAAACCAAAATATCAGCTGACAAGATGACTCCCTGTCTGTAAAAAAGCTGGAAGAAGAGGAATATTCCAGCAGGACAGCCATCCAATGCACAGTGCCAAAATGACACCAAGTCCTAAAGGAGAAAAAGTGAAAACTGTGACCTGGCTAAGTTTGTTGTCTGACTGTAACCCAAATGAACACCTTTGGGTTATTTTAAAGAGAAAGATAGAGCAACACAGCCCCTCTAGCAAAGGGTCACAGAAAAAATAGTCCCTAAAGAGTGACAGAACATCTCTTCATAACTTTGGTATCCTCCATGCTGAGGGGGATTAAATATGTCATTAAAAATAGAGGTGGACATAGAGAGTATTGAAAAATCATTTAAAAAAATTTTTTTTAAAAATGAATCTCAGTAATGACTGTGTACTGCACTGACTTTTGTTTAATTTAGTTCCCAATGTGCAGCCAATATTTTCAATATAAACTTAGATTTTCATTTTGCATAAGTATAATTCTCTTCTGTTCAATTTAGAAGACAGAATTGTGACTCATTTGACACTTATGTGGTATGGGGTGTACTCACCTCTGTTATGTGCTGCCTCTATGAGCTGAGAAATGCACCAAAACACTGCGTGAACAGGAGCTTCATGTCTCTTACATGGCAGACAGCTGCTATGCTTCACTCTGAGCTGTGGCTCACTACAGTTGCTGGAACACTCTTAACAGCATTTGCTCTCTGTGGCTATTATCACATGCTGACGCTTTGAGCAAACCACCGTGGGAGACTTATAATAAAAATAATAGTATTAACTTTATTCGTATAGCACTTTGTGTTTTACAATAGAACTGAAGTTACATGAGACAAATAATGACAACACATTCAAACAAATGATTCCGATTAAGCAGTCAGTTCACATTTATTTTTTAAATTACTATTATTTCTTTGAAAAATAAATAATAATGAAAAAAAAAAAAAAGATAGTCTAATCTCAACACTGTGAATACCTTGTGAGAGTTGCATCACTTTGCCCTGCCTATTGTCTTGCAGGTGGCTTTTGAACGGCACTGAGGTCCCACTGGGTTCGGATCGGTACACCCTGGTGGCCGGCACGCTGGTGATCAGCAACCCTGAGTCTGCTCGAGACACAGGCTCGTACCAATGTCTGGCCATCAACCGCTGTGGCACCATCATCAGCAGAGCAGCTAATCTCAAATTTGGCTGTGAGTGAAAAAAGATCTCTCAACTATTTGCCCTTTTTAAGCTGCTTGTGTGGGTCAGTGTGGCAGCATTTTCACTGGTAGACAATTAGATTTTCTCTCTTTTACTATCTTCATGTGGTAGTCATCACTTTCTTCACATTTCCCTCTCATTTTTTGCATTCACATGTTCCTCCAGACCTTCATGACTTCCCTCCCGACACCAGGAGTCCTCAGACAGCATATGAGGGTGTAGGAACTTTCCTGGCCTGCCAGCCCCCTCCACATTACCCAGGTATCCCCTCTACTTCAGAATTTTATTGTGGAAAACCTGATAAGGTATAGACTAGTTTATATTATTTTAGACAACTAGAATAAAAGTGAAACTGAATTCTGAGAACTTACAGGATGACATTATGTTCAACCCAAGCTAGCAGGTATTAACGTGATATGCACTGGCCTTTCTCCTCTCCAGCTCTGTCCTACCGCTGGTTGATCAACGAGTTTCCAAACTTCATCAGGAAGGATGATGGGCGCTGGTTTGTGTCACAGGTCACCGGGAACTTGTATGTGGCCAAAGCAGAGCCAAATGACACTGGAAACTATTTCTGCTTCACCACCATCAACATGGACATCAGCACCAAGAGCACCTTCAGCAAGGCCAACCAGCTCACTGTGCTTCCAGATGGTATGAGCCATTTACACCAGCACCACAGGGCCGTGAGAAAGTATTTGTCCCCTTCTCAAATTCTTTTTTTTTTTTTTATGTTTCCCCCACTTTGATGTTTAAGACCATCAAACAAATTTAAATATTAGAAAAAGATAAACAAGGTAAACACAAAATGCAGTTTTTAAATGGTGATTTAATGTTTTAAGGGAAAAAGTTATCCAATCCTACCTGACCCTGTGTGAAAAAGTAATTGCCTCCCTTTGTTAAATCATGAATTAACTGTGGCTAATCCCATTTTTTGGAAAGCTGAGTTCAATTTCACTGACCACACCCCAGCCTGATGACCTCCAGACCTGTTCAATCACTTAAACAGAACGTGTCTGACAAAAGATTTTCCTTTATAAATAAAATCGTCATTTAAAAACTGCATTTTGTGTTTACTTGGACTATCTTTGTCTGATATTTACATTTGTTTGATGGTCTTAGACATTATAATGGGGAAAATATGCAAAGGAAAATAAGAATGTGAGAGAGACTTTTCATGGCACTAGATATTTATATATACAGTATATACACTGTTGCCCATAAAGTTGGACAAATTTTTGTTTTCAGACACATTCCTCTTTTTATTTCTGTTTATACACGTCAGTAATCACTTTTGACCAGGTTCAATAATTACATACTGAGTCCCAGTTACCAGATGAAACCAATTCTGACTTTGGGATCTGACCAAAGAGTGGGACGTCCTGCCAACTGTGAATATGTGTTTCCTGTTATACGACCAAGGTTGAAAAATTGAAACAAAACCCTTAAAATTATTGTTCAATACCCCCCAATTTAGTTTAAGCCGGAGTACACAGTTTGCAAAAGTTACTTGTGGTGTAATTTTTGCTGTCATATGTATTGTATGTATATTGTGATATCAATAAAGTTTTGAGAGGATATACGCTTTATCTATCAAGAATATATTGCACAATTGTCGCAATCATGTCATGAGAAGAGGTTAAAAAAATAATTTAATTCCAACTTTGTGAGCAATAGTATACATATGTGCGTGCGTGTGTGTGTGTGTGTGTGTGTGTGTTTTATATATATATAAACTGGGAAGCAATATTTACAGTTCTATTTTTTTTTCCAGCCAATCCCAGGAAGTCTGCTCCGAGCATTAAAGTGCGCTTTCCAGCAGAGACCTATGCCCTAGCTGGACACACTGCCCAGTTAGAGTGCTTTGCTTATGGAAAGTAAGTTTCACAAATCATTGCTTAATCTGTTTAAAAGTTGTTTTTGGCTGCAAAGATGTTCATCTTTAGAAACACTTGAAATAGATGTTTTTTTTCTTCTTGTACTTATTTGTCTTCCTCTCAAACTTTTAAAACAGTGATTATCCCCTTCTGCCTGATTTTGAGACTGCTGTGCCACATCTTCTGACTTTACCTCCAGCTTCCATCCATCCATCCATCCATCCATTCATTTTCTCTTTTTATTTTCATGTTATAGCCCAGTCCCAAAACTGCGATGGAAGAAAGCGGATGGTTTGATGCCATCAAAGGCAGGTTTCTCTGTTGAGGGTCCCACCCTCACCCTGCCTGACCTCTCTTTTGATGACGAGGGTATTTACGAGTGTGAAGCCTATAACTCAGAGGGAAGTGACACATACCAGGGACGCATCAATGTGCAAGGTGACATAGCTGTTTATGTATACAGCTATAAATGAATATTGTTTGCAGCACGGCACATAATTTTGTCAGTAATGTTTAGTCATCAGTGCTTGTTGTTCACTTCCTCAGTGTACTGCTAATACGTCTCTTTATTTGTCTTATTTTGTCTTCCTGTTTGCCCTCCATCCCCTCAGCTCAGCCGGAATGGCTGCAGGTGATGAGTGACTCAGAGGTGGAGATCAGCTCAGAGCTTCACTGGAGCTGTGTGGCTGCTGGAAAACCACGACCCTCCGTACGCTGGCTACGCAATGGACAGCCGATTAGCACACAGGTACCACAAGCAGATAACACAAACTAAAAGTCCAATTGCATGTATCATTTGTCACAGGCAAATTAAAAATTACAGCAGCCAGTGAGAATGTTCCCATCAGACATCTATATCTCACAATGTCAGAATGTCAAAATGTAGGTTAATGTTGTAGTTAAAATTAAACTGGCAACTTGTGTTTCATGTGGCATGATGTCAGCAATGTATTGAATCTACATGAACAGCATGGTAGACTGGCTACTGGACTCTGTTCCACAACCATGTCCCACATACTTCTACGTACTGCAGGTGGCAGTAGCACCTAAACATTGGTCACTGCCAGAGGCAACGCTGGTTGTGTTTGTAAAGTGACACAAAGTACATTTCACTTGATGCCTTCAGTGAAGTCGGCTGTGTTACAGGAAGGTGAATCTGTACTGGTTAAGGTAGTGCAGTTAAGGTAAAAGTGATTAAGTCAAGTTAAGGTAGAATTTATTGTGACATGTTAGTTCCTGGGCTGCATGGTGGCTCGCCTCAGCTCGAAGATCCCTGGTTTGTGTCCTGGTTAGGGCATCTGAGTTCTTTCTGCGTGGAGTTTGCATGTTCTCCTTGTGCAGCGTGGGTTCTCTCTGGGTTCTCCGGCTTCCTCCTACAAGGTCCAAAAACATGATGAGGTTAATTGGTGATTCTAAATTGTCCATCGGTGTGAATGTGAGTGTGCTTGTTTGTCTCTCTGTAGCCCTGTGATAGACTGGTTACCTGTCCAGGGTGTCCCCTGCCTTCGCCCTGAGTCAGCTGGGATAGACTCCAGCCCCCCAAGACCCTAATGAGGATTAAGCGGTGTATAGAAAATGGATGGATGGATGTTAATTCCTGCAAACTGCTTTCAGCACAGTACATCCTGTTAACCTTCCTTCTCTCTCTTCCTTACTTATCACTCTTTCTATCTCCCCCGGTGCTTACCCCCGGACTTTCAGGACCGGGTGGAGGTGAACGGAGCTCATCTTAAAATCAGTAACCTGGCCCTGGAGGATTCTGGGATGTACCAGTGTGTGGCTGAAAACAAGCATGGTACCGTGTACTCCACTGCTGAGCTTAGAGTCCAAGGTAGGAGGAGGATGTCGATTCACTGCTTATTTAATGAGCTGCTGGCACAAAAGGAGGACTATTTATACGGTCCTTTATTCAAAACAATATTCAGCACACAGATGATTTTTATGTATTTTTTAATCCACTTCCAAAAAGTCAGTGTTATAGCTAAAAACCTATTAAATGTTGAGCAAAGAGCACACACAGTTTTTGTACTAGAGCAGATAGAAGTATATGTAATATAATTGAACTGTGTATCACTCTCTTACATTAAATTACCAGCATTCTGACTCCCTCTGTCCTCTCATCTGTCTCCTGCTTCCAGTTCAGGCTCCAGATTTCAGGCTGAACCCAGTACGGAGGTTGATCCCAGCCGCTCGAGGAGGGCAAGTGATGATTGAGTGTCGCCCTCGAGCCGCACCAAAGCCCAGCCTGTTCTGGAGTCGTGGGACGGAGCTTCTCACCAACAGCAGCAGGTAATCCAGTAACTGAGGCTCTTATTAAAATGTTCATATGGCAGTACAGTGTAGGTGAAATCCAACAAGGCAGAGAAATAACACAAAATCCCTCACATACAGAATCAGTCTTTGATCAGAATCACACCATTTATCAGGGCCAGAAGATGTAAGAACAAAAAGAATAATCAGATTTTCAACTTTCCAGTGGTACTTGAACTACTCATCTGGGAAGTACTGTTCTGCTCTTGGCCAAATCTAAGCTTAAAATATCCGACTTCATCAAAGGGTTTTATTTTGCATGTCTCATTTAAAAAGATGTACAAGATATAAACCATTTGCAACAGACTCTATAAAAATAAAAATAAAATTGGTGCTTCTTAGTGCAACAGAGAAGCCACAACTAAGTCAGCTGTGACCGTGACAGTGATGCAACAAAAGTTCAAGGACTTTTCAGCAAAGCTGGAGGTTGTGTTTAGACAGAGGCAGAGAGTAGAATAGAAACAGAAGTATGGAAACAAAATAAAAATGTAAACACAAAAATATTTACAGGTAGAGTCACAATCTTTTTCCCATATTGGTTACACATGGGCACAAAATGGTAGAAATGTTGATTCCAGGTTTTAGCAGTTTTTGTAAAACAAATAATCATGAAATTCAACGTTTCCTGTCTCCTTTTCACAGTCTATGGCATTATAACTGTGTCATGCTATACAATACATATATTTGAGTTCTCTCTCCTTCTAGCCATGGTTGTGCTGTTGCCATAGACATGCAGGACTTTATATTGCAGTAAAAAATTTGCCGGCGGTAAGAAAAAATGTGACGGGAGCAAAAAAAGAAAGAAAAAAGAGCCAGAAGCGGCTTGTGGTCCACAGGGTTCACTGCCTCAGTCTCACCTTGCTCCAAATGCAAAAATAGAAATCTCACTATTCCATTCTTGCTTCAGATTCAAAGAATAAACAACAAAAGCTACATAAGAATAGACAAATTCTGCACAAACTGAGTAAGATTTTGTTTGCAGCTCATAAAAACAAATCACCTTTTTAACTCATGTCAGTTTTTAAAGATTTGGAAAAATCAAAGATGTTTATTCCACAGCTATAAGATTAGGAGCCACTTCCCACAGGCTTCTGCGTTTGTCGCAGGATTTATTACTGTTGATTTCATCAGATTCTGTCACTGCTACCTGAACAGGCTGAAACTTCCTCAGCGTTGTGTGCATCATAGTGATTGTCAAATAGAAAAAAAAAGTTTAGGTTAAACATACAGAAAGCAAAAAAATGCAGAATGTGACAGATGCAGTCTTGCATTTGCTAAGTTTTCAGCACAACAATTGTCCCTTTTTATATATTTAAAAAACTTGAACATGAACTTTATCCAACATAAACCATATTTGCGTCAGTGTTTCCTGTCATAGACAGGACTCATTCTGTCTGCTGATACCTGGTCCAGGACAGTCACTCTGAACCTTAACCTCCCCAGTTTTGCCCTGGTCCACCATCTCTGCACCACTGAGCTTAACTTGGTTTATTTACTGTGTATGAACGTGAGATAATTTCTTTATTCTTATTTATTTTTATTTATTTGGGAGTTTTTTATACATCAGTGTAGACCAGCAGTAAATCAATGTGGTGGATATGGTTTGAGGTTACTTCACTGCCTCAAGGACTGGGCAGCTTGCAGGCACTGATTCAACTGTGAATTCTGCATCATATCAAAATGTGCTTGAAGAGAATCTGAGGCCATCTGTCTAACAGTTGAGGTTTAACTGGTTGTGGCTCTTTTAACAGGATATTGTTCCTAAGCACACTAACAAGTCCACCAATGAATGGCTTAAACAGAGGACATGGAGGGTTATGGAATAATATGGAAGTGTGATAACAGCAAGTTGATGTCAGACACTGATGGACAGTGACGCAAAACACCTACGCAATACCAGCTTCTAAGGCCATATAGAAGAATATGTTCAAGTGTTCTTCAAGTAGATCACCTTTATCTCTTTTAAGTGCTTTGTTAGATATGTAAAAAAAGCCAACAATTTCAGTGGGATGTACTCATTTTCCCACATGCCTTTCACATGACCAGCTGTCTTACCCTTCTCTCTCCGCTGCTCCTCTCATTGCATCATTATTTTGCCACTTACCTCATATAGCTAAATCCACCTGGTTCTAGCCTTAGAGCTGTAAACTGTGGGATAGGTTTGGTCTCCGAACATTAATTGAATATGGTATGTTTTTACAGAATCCATCATGTGAGCACAGGAGGCCAAATGTGACTGAGTACCATCCATTTAGGATCATGTGGAATCCTTGTGTACTGTAAAGCAGTGTCTGATATCCACACCCCCAAAATCTCAACAACTGGGAGCTAGAAATGAAATATTATCTTACTCACAGCAATAATAACTTGAACAGTAAAAGTTGTGAATAAACAGAATTATCTTCTATCTAGATTTAGCTAAAATTGGTGTTTACGGCAGCGTCTGAAGGTCGATGAAGTGGGCTTGGAGTAGAATGTGGGTGAATAAAGCGAAGGAGTGACATTCACCGAGAGGAGATTAGAATTAATGTTTAGTGGGACGCAGCTTGAACTGTGAATTATGATGGTTATAGCAAGTTATATATTTACCTTGAAATTGTGCTTTTTAGCATATATGTCACAGCACATGATCTGAGAGCTGACATTCATCATGACAGGAACACCTAAACAACACAGAGAAGCACATTAGTGCTTCCGCAAGCACTACTTTTGTGATGCCTATAAAGATCAGGTTTTGTTAACAATGTGTCAACACTGATTATACATAAAGTCAGAATTTTTAAAGTTGTATTGGCTTGCCTCAGCTGACAGTTATATTGTATTCCATCCTCACACTGATTTGATAGCAGTACTGTAGTCAGCCAGCTGCAGGAGCTCTTGACCCTCTGCACACTCATGTCTTCTCAGAGTCACAGTAACTCCAGACGGCATCTTGTGGATCCATAACATCAGCAGAGCAGATGAAGGGAAATACACCTGCTTTGCTGAAAACTACCTGGGAAAAGCCAACAGCACTGGACACCTGTCTGTCAGAGGTACACTCAGTCACAACGACAGAGAAGACAAGCAACAAACACCAGAAGCTGTGTGATCTAAAAATACAACAAAGTATTAATCTACAGCTTGACATGAGACAGGCAATCATGGCAACGTTGAGCAAACTTGAATGTTCTGGTTTTAAAATGAGGGCAAGTAAAAAGTCATTAGACATCATGTCTTCTAGGTCAAGTTTTGTTAATGCACAGACATGAGACTGGTATGGATCTCATCTAACAAGAATGCAAATACACACATTTTCCAAATGCATCTGTTAGGCTGTTCATTTTGGCTTTGTATCTGAAGACATTTAACCAGTTCCCTGCTGGTTTTCATCTGGACTGTTTACTCTTGCAGATGCTACTAAGATCACATTGGCCCCTTCCAACGCTGACATTAATCAGGGAGAGAATGTGACCCTGCAGTGCCATGCCTCCCACGACCCCACCATGGACCTGACCTTTACCTGGGCCCTCAATGGGGTCCTGCTGGACTTGGAGAACTCTGCTGGGCCATACCACCGGGTGGAAGGGGTGAGTTCTGTGATGCATGATGGAGAGAAGGTTGTGCGGATAATTCTTTGTGTTCAGGCCTGGAAGATCAACAATTCCATTTTTTTCTGCATGGAGTTTTGCAGTGTGCTTATAGCAGATCAGTGATTTGGGGACTTCTATGCAGGATAATCAAGGTTCTGTTGTCTGCGTTTTAGTTCCATCAAGCCTTCAAGACATCAAACAACCAAAATAAACACTACAGGATTTTTGTGGCCTTTTACTTTTTCCACCAAACTTAGAAACTGAGCTCTGAGTTCAATTTAGCAGTTTTCCACAGAGATGAATTTTACAAATTACTTTTGTCGTTACATTAATTTTAGTAAAGGTCTCTCTCCTGCTGTTTTCTCCACACTCCTGAGACTGTGTTGGGAGACACAGCACACCTTCTTGCACTGGCACATATGGATGTGCTGTCCTGGAGTAGCTGGACGACCTGTGCAACCTGAACGAAAAATCAGTCAGGGATAGAAAAATGGTCTGTTTAGAATATCACCAGGCTTATATTGTTCGGTTTTAATGGCTCTGGTCTAAGTGTTTATGTACATTTAATTAAGTTGGGAAATAACTTCTTGTGTGTTAGTGGTACTGGTAGTGCTCAGTGAGAGAAGCTTCAACACAAAAAGCTTCTCATTTCATCTGTTCCTTCATGTACTGAGCAGCACTACATTTCCCTCTAAGTCCTAGTGCAGTCTGGATAAAGGCTGCCATGTTCACTAGTCTTGCCCCTTATGTCTGAAGTGCTAATATTGACTGCAATCACCAGACTTTGGTCTCGTAAGAAGTCTGGTTTATTTGCCATTTTCTCGTCGGACTGCTGTCATAAAAGATTCAGGTTAATTCAAGCTATGTCAGCTCTGGCCAGAAGCTATTAAATGCCACAGAAGTCTTTGTCATGGTGGCCCCTAAACTCTCACAATGCTCCATTTTCACCCATTATCCGAGTGAATGCCTCCTCTGGTGGTTGCAGTCTTTTTATCTCTTTGAACATTAAGAGGCTCCACCTGGTGGTGCTACCAGGTGCTACAGCTAATGTACAATACATTTTCTGACATGAATGTCCTTCCTCTTCTGTCTTGTTACTTAACATTCTTTTCTTCTGTTAACTTATTAACAGCAATTAATAGACTAAATGATCAGCATTGGTAACCCTAATTTGCATGAAGAACCAACGAGAACGAAATCCTGACGCACTGACAGCAAAGTGGTCTAAAAGCAAGGCACCATTGCCAACTATTGCTCAGATATTTTATCTTGACTTCAGTTAGTTGATTTCAGAGTGGCAAGTCAAACATTTCACGCTACCTGAGCATAGGGCCAGGAAGGAATTTGTTTCTAAATAAACTATCCATTTAATGTTCTCGCCCCGTTATACTTGACAATGCTAATGATAAGCCGATATTAGCTGGTTGTGCGTCTTGCTGAAAATTAGCTTCTGTAATCTGCACCTTAGCACTAAAGGTCTGAGGCAGCATGTGGTTGTTCTCTGTGTTTAAAGTTCATTATGATTAAAGTTATTTAAAGTGCCTTTATGCACTAAACCATTTCATAGAAAACAATATTGTTGTATTCCTTTTAGTGGTTTGACTGTTAGAGTAACAGTGTTTGATTCATTTGCTTTTTGTCTCTTTCACTCTGCCATTTCAGAAGGAAAACATTGGTGACCTGTTAATTGTGAATGCTCAGCTGAGTCAGGCAGGGATGTACACCTGCACTGCTCAGACTGTGGTGGACAGCGCTTCTGCTTCAGCTAAACTAGTGGTTCGAGGTAAGACAAGTCAGAATTGATGGTGGTTTGGTTCAACAATCTTTTTTCTGAGAGAATGTAACTTACAGTTTGCATTCATTTTCACAATTACAGAGTTTCTTGAAGGAATCAGTGTATTATGTGGAATAGTAGAGAAGCCAGGAACATGGGTTCTGTAGACACATGACACAGTCGTCAGCAAAAGTTTACATACAGTTGGACAGACCATGTATCTATAACCAGTCTTGAGTTTCCAATGACTCCTACAACTGACAACTCTGTGATGGAATCACTGAAACAGATATTGTATGTCTTTATCACAAAAAATAATCATGCAATTTGGTTCTTTGGTTCTCACAGATTTTTTTTTAGTCTTCTGTAAATATGACAAAATTTGCTGGGTCAAAAACATACAGCATCTTGAATCAGCTTTGGTGATGTAGAAAGCTGTGTTCATCAAATTTTGGCCTCTTAACTTCTCATAAGTGTGATTGTCTACAGCTGGTGACCTCTCTGAGTCAATTTAAATAGAATCCATCTTATCCCCTCATTCGACTCAGCCATAAACACTACAGTGGGAAAGTCTGAAAGCGTGAGGCCTTTAACCTCAAGAACAACAAACCTACCGTCAAGCATGGTGGTGGTAGTATTATGCTGTTAGGCTGTTTTGCTGCCATTGAAACTGGTGCTTCACACAAATTAAATGGAATAATGAAGAAAAAGGATTACTTGAATTCATCAGCCAGAAAGTTGGGTGTTGGACGCAGTTGGGCGTTCCAACAAGACAATAACCTCAAACACAAATCAAAGGTGGTAAAGAAATTATTGAATCAGGCTAGACTGGTCTCCCCAAAGTCCCAACGTAAACCCATCAAAAACCAGTGGACTGTGATGAAGAAATCCTACAAATTTAGTTGCACTGCACCAGTTTTTAATTCAATATATTACATTTTAAAAGTACTTGAAAATCCCATAAGTACAATTTTAAGTGCAAGTAGAGGCATCAAGACACATCTGATCACATTCTATGATTTCACTGTACAGTTTGATTATAACATTTTATATATAAAAGTACATTTCTGTCTTATAATAACAAAATCTTGAACTTCATAGATGTAGTTACTTCTAGCCATTGTAGATTGTACCACTGTCTTCTGCTGTTGGTGTAATGAGTAGCCATCTGTACAGAAATGGACTTACTGCTAATTATTAATTATTTAGTCACATGGGTGAAGGAGTGCTGATCTAACTCCGACTACTTCAGTTAGTAAATACACAAAGAGCTATGAATTATGTCATTGCTTCACAGTAACTTTTCTCTATTGTGTCCAGGCCCCCCAGGACCTCCTGGAGGTTTACTGGTAAAGAACGTAGCTGAGATGTCGGTGGAGCTCAGATGGAGTCGCGGCTACGATAACCACAGTCCCATTGGCAAATACGTCATCATGGGCAGATCAGCTCTCTCATCAGAGTGGAAAAAGATGAGGACAGGTGTGTAGCTCCCTCAAGTCATTTGGAAGACTAAAAGCTGGTTAAAAAAAAAAAAAAACAGGGAGTCGTTTTTTCGATCAATTTCATTGATATCCAATCAAACCATGGAAACCGATAAGAAACAACATCAAGTCCCATTACATCAACTATGCAACAGTGTTAAATTAAGCTAGCTGGCAAGGCTAGCCTCCAATTTGAACAGAGTTACGTAAACCAATAAAATTTCCAGTTAGATGCCTCGTTGAAGAAGCTAACTCTCCACAGAATCTTCACAAATTAAAAACTGAACACTTTTGAAACTCAGTGAGGTATGTATGGTGAATGTTTGACACCACGGGCTCTTTCATTTCTATCCAAGTGTGCGTCACTGAAACATACCAGACACTTACCAGAAATATGTCCCTGCAATAAGTTCCACTTCAAAACTCACCCAACCTATTTTTTATTTATTTTGGCCTTTTTCGGGTTTATTGGACAGGTAATTGGAGAGAGGAAGACAGGAAAGCAGGGAGAAGAGTGGGGGGTTGGACATGCAACAAATGAACCCATGGCTGCTGTGTCAGGACTATAGCCTCTGTTGATGGGTCGCTGCTCAGTTACAGTAAACATACTATACTGATATATGCAGTCATATTGTGGGGACAGTGTGCCAGCTGTGGCTCAAGTGGGCGTCCACTAAATGCAGAGTTCTGGGAAGGTTCAGGGTTTGAACCTGCTGATCATCTAGGGCCTTTCTGTGTGGAGTCATCTTCCTCCCGCAGTCCAAAGACATGCATGGTAGGTTAAATGCTAATTCTAAACTGTGCACTGGTGTATGTTTGACTTGTCCTCAGTTTGTAGCAGAGGGTTCACTCTAGAGTCAAGGTTTGGGAATCCACAGCAGTTTTTTTTTAAAATTGTGAGGACTTGGTCAAACTAAAAGACTAATTTGAAAAGTTGGCTTTAGTTAGAAAACACCAATAACCTGATATTGACTGAGATTTTTTTGTTTATTGCCTGTAAATAAGCACATGTATCATCACTGTACATTAGATCCAGTGAACATCGAAGGAAACGCAGAGTCGGCTCGTGTGATGGGACTCATGCCCTGGATGGATTATGAATTCCAGGTCATTGCCAGCAACATCCTGGGCAGCGGAGAGCCCAGCATGCCCTCCCACATCATCCGCACACAGCAAGCAGGTGAGGTACCTCAGGTCCGGACCGTTTTAAATTGAATGATTAGAAAAGATGCAGCAAAATCATAAAAAAATATATAAAATTATTTTGTTTTGCACATTGTTCCTTCAAAACTCAAGCTTATATTGACATCTGAGCTCCACCAACACCTGTTACATAGCAGAATAAGGTGTGTCATGCTCGTAGCAGCTAAGGTGGCCTTTAGCCTGCAGCAGACATGAGCAGAGGTCTGGTCTGTTCAGTGTTTCTGACTCCACACCAGCAGATTTTTTAAGTCTTTAGACCCAACCAACAGTGACTTCAGTTGAGGACATTTATCAGGTTTCACACAGTTTGCTCTGGAATAATCAGATTTATAAAGTAATAAGATGCAATCCGCATCAACTATTAATGCATACATTTAACAGAATTTTACACTGACACATTAAAAAAAAATACTGTGCTCTCTCCTCAAACTAAGATAGTCATTTTCACACCATCTAGGGATTTTTCCACTTACATTTGTACTGGTCCACTTTGAGGATAACATCGTGTATAACATGTATATATTGTGTTTGTGTATTCTCTAAGCTCCCACAGTGGCCCCGAGTGGACTTGGAGGAGGAGGAGGAGACCGCAATGAGCTCATTGTTACCTGGACGGTGAGTTCATAGCTTAGAGTTGTGTATGTGTGTGTGTCTGCTCTATGTGTATATAGTGTATTGTACACATATATTGTAGCATACTGCACTGCAACATAATGAAAAGCAATTTTAGTATTCAAATTTTCTCTAATCTAATCTTAAATTAACTTGACTTTTTACTGCTTACTTCACATTTATGTGATCTTTTCTTCTCAGTTGTTATGTGTTAGTGGTTCCAGAACTCCTTAGACCTTCTTGTCTCTCATGTTACAAGATATATTCTGTTGCTAATTTACTTAAAGTGGCACTACATTGATTTGTAATTGCACTTTTTGTGAAGGCAGTGGTTGCACAAATTTTAAAAGAATTGTCACAATCAATGCAACAAAACAGCCCAAGTATCCAAGTTGTTAGTTCCCAATATGAATAAATGCAAGTCATCCTACTGTCATCATAACTTATATAACTCTAGAGTCACTTTCATTAGAGCTTCATATGAATAATTCTAACCCTCACACACCTTTTTCAACAAGTTTAAAACTCTGTCTTTTGAAATCCAGCTAGAGATTACTGAAGCAATGTCACTTTATTTATCATCATGTCGAATTTTCAAACCATGAAACATGTTAGTTTTAAACATTTCAAAAAACCTGCTACAGGTCTTCTGTGGACTTCAGCGGTCATGTGATTGCTATGTTATGTCAACTATGATGTCAGCTATAATCCCAGAATGAATTTGGGACGTGTCAGACACCTCCCTGATGGATGAGAATCTAAATATCAAAAGCATTTAAAACTTTTGTGCAGAAAGCAGTCACTTACTACTGTAGCATTTCAGCGACTGTTTGGCTGCCGGTATAAACAGAGAATGATTCCCATGAACCTGATGTTGTCTATGACGCTTTCAACAATGTTTGTATGAGGGAGTCTGAACATTTAGTACAGTTGGACATCCCACAATGGGGAGTTATGCATCGGAACATTGGGATTGGGCATGCTTGTCTTTGTTTCCATCATAATTATCTCCTGCATCTTTCAGCCCATGGCCAGAGAGTACCAGAATGGTGACGGCTTTGGCTACATCCTGGCATTCAGGAAGAAAGACACGTCATCGTGGACAGAGGTGCGAATTCCCCATGTGGAGTCATCTCGCTACGTTTACTACAACGACAGCCTGACACCTTACAGCCCCTTTGAAGTGAAGATTAAAGCTTATAACCGCAGAGGAGAAGGTCCATTTAGTCAAATTGCTGTGGTCCACTCTGCAGAGGAAGGTGAGTCACTGTGACGTTTAACCAGTTTTTCACACCTGTTTATTTTTTTGTCTCCTCTAAACCACCTCCCATTGTAAGGTTCTCACTGCAATATCACCTTGATGACTACTGCCACACCTAATAATCACTATTTTCTACAAGTTGAGGATTTGTTTGCGGTGGTGGACACTTCAATGATGGCTAAATATTGAGTCTGCAGCAAATTCCCAAAAGACGATAATATACTAACAATTGCATATGAATGTAGCATTCTGTTAGTCTGCATTTTACTCTGTTTCTGTACTGACCTTTGAAAAATGGAAACATTTACTTAAAAATCCAAACTTCTTAGTGTTAGCTTATTGTGTGAGCAGACCAAATACCCTTCATCAGAAACACCTTACTGATACTAGGTGGGGCTGTCCAGTGTTGGTCAGCCTGTTCCCACTGTAGCTTCAGATTTCTTTTCTTTGCTGATAAGAGAAACCTGACAAGGTCTTCTTCCACCAAATTAACTCCCCTGCCACTTTTTGGCAAACTGTTCAACACAATTATTGAGAGGTGATATCATTTTCAGTTATTTGACATTTTAGAGATACGACATGAAGATGGACCCACTTCTGTTGAATGCTGTTAATTCTTGAATGTAAGGAAAGTAACACATGATAATGTCTAAGACCAAAAAGTCTATCAGCAAGTGTTACTACTGAATTATTTAACAAAATACTTTGAACTCTGTTGGAGTTTACTATAAGGGCAAAAACAATGTAGCAAAAGCAGTAATTGCCCACTATATAAGAAGGCATACTATGCAATGTGTCAGAATGTTTACTCAATGGAGACACTGGACAAGCAAAGGTAGAAAGGTTTCTTATTACTCAGATGCACTGACATGGATGCTAATTAGTGTTTAGGCTAGCGGCTGCAGGTGAGTCATTCTGAAAAATGTCCACATTATCAGTCCATCTGCAGCTGGCAGTAAGATTGGAAATGAAAAGTCTGAATATCTTTCTGTGTGGAGTTTGCATGTTCTCCCCGTGCAGCGTGGGTTCTCTCCAGGTTCTCCGGTTTCCTCCTACACAGTCCAAAGACATGTTGAGGTTAATTGGTGATTCTAAATTGTCTGTAGGTGTGAATGTGAGTGTGCTTGGTTGTCTGTCTCTAAGTGTAGCCCTGTGATAGACTGGTTACCTGTCCAGGGTGTCCCCTGCCTTCGCCCTGAGTCGGCTGGGATGGACTCCAGCCCCCTGTGACCCTAGTGAGGATTAAGGGGTGTATAGATAATGAATGGATGAAGTTGTGCCTCCATGTGCAGTATTTTCTGTCACCACTAGAGGACAACTACAACATTCAGGAGAATGAGCACATTTTGCTCTCTTGTGACTTCACTGATGGTTCACTGAACATGTCTTTCAGATTGTACCTAATGCTAAAATAACACGTCATGTACGTGTACGTCATGAACTGTGTCGCATATGCTGACCTTTGACATCTGATCAATCCCTCACAGAACCAAAAGTGGGACCTTCAAACATCAATGCCACGGCACTGTCCGCCTTTGAGATCCAGGTTTCATGGGAACCCGTCCAGCAGTTCAGTGCCAATGGCATCCTCCGAGGATACGAGGTGACGAATACACACCTGGATGTTTGTTCAACAACACTGACTGTAAATTTCCAAAATAGCTTCCAGTAAAACTGAAAGAGGCAATGGTGCTCTTGATGGAAATCTGTAAGTTCTCTATCAGTAGCATCTTGTTAAAAATACACAGATGATCACATTTAATTATCATTATTTTTGTTTCCTTAAAACAGATGGCTTCTCAGAGGTCATCGTCTCATATATCAGATCCTACAGTTGCTTGTTTTTCTTTTGGGTGACAAAGACGTACAGTTGAACTGTGGACTCATTGATAGAGTTGTAATTTGGTTTCGGACAAGTTTATTTGTGCAAAGTCCTCTGACGGATTGTTAGAGTTGTGGTCATTATATATGCTGTTCTTAGTCCTGCAAGCTGCCATAGTTCACTTTATCAGTTTTATTGGTTCTAATTCATCAGAAACGCAAAACAAATGTATCACTTCATTAGTGCTGGGAAGGCTTATGTCAGCATGCCTGACTGGCTGATTAAAAGATGAGATAATTACTTTCATTTTCCTTCACTGATAAAGCTCATTAGACAAACAGTGTATGTGCTTCTGTGTATATGAGTAGGTTTTGATGAATCTTCATCTTTAAACTGCATTCAGTGAAGAGATTCAGGTCAGGTCTGTAAGTGTATTGTTGGCTTTATGTGTGTTGTCAGATCCGGTACTGGCGGCAGCATGAACGGGAAGCTGCAGCGGACCGGGTGAGGACAGCGGGCCTGGAACCTACAGCCAGGGTGTCTGGACTTCGACCCAGTACTCGATACCACGTCGCTGTTCTGGCATACAATAGCGCTGGCACTGGGCCGCCATCACCGCGCACCACTGTCACCACAAGAAAACCACGTATGACTGCAGCACTTTCACATATGAAATGTCTTTTACGGTGCTTTTACATTTAACTTGTTTGCCTCAGTTTGAACTTGTGTGAATGCTGTATATGGATTTTGAATCCAACTATCAGGACCACTTAAAAATAAGAGGGTCTCAGTCAGTCTCCAGGCAGACTCCTGCAGTCCAGAATGACAGCTGAGCATACTTCTGTTTTCTGTCTGATGGTAATAACAATAAAAAACATATTTGAAGCAGTAGAATTAAAAACACAGCAGTTCTAGTTTAATATTTGCATTTAAACATTTAATAGGAACTTTTTCTTCTTTTGTTTTTATCAGAGCTATCTACTATTTATTTAGTTTTCAAATCACTGCTGAGGCATCTTTATTTTCAGCACTTGTCATTGTCAGTGCATAATATTCTTTATTATGTGGTTTCCTCTACCAACAGAAGTATGTCTTAATGCAGCATTCTGTTTTCATTTCAGCCAATTTCCTATTTATTCATCCTTATTTATATATATATGTATACATCTGTCTACAGCATATACGTGACCAATCAGTAGATTGTTTTTCATGTCCTATAGAAAATTATTTCCAGAGATTTAAGAATTTAATGTAAGCTTACTTTAAAAATCTGTTGTGGTCTTGCACAATAACACAGTATGGTAGATGCAGCATCAGAGTAATATCTCTGATTGGCTGTTCTCTCTCTGAGTAGAACATGAACAATCATGTGATTACCTAAGAGTAGCTCCTAGAAATGACTTTTACAGGAAGTCACCTGATACACCTGATGTGTCTTATTGAGTGAATCTGGAACCCTACAGCCTTCTGTAGTCGCCTTTTTCCAATTATCATAATTCATGCCACAGGTCATCTGGGAATCATTATTTTCCCTTAAAGAACTGAACTACAGGTGTGAAAATAAAATCAGCAAAGAAAGCAGATGGTGGATTTTACTATGCTGTAAACAAGGGTTTGCATGTTAGGAATACAAAGTGCCAAAACTGAGAGTGAGCATCATTGAAGCTGTAATCACTCAAAACCTCAAATATAGCTCTTCTTCTTTAGTGGCTTAAAACACTGACTACACTTACGATGACTCTCTCAAACACTCTTCCACATTTGTACATCTGTCACTTACAGTAGCTTTGTCATTCATGAACTGCTGTAGCTTGAAACAAAGGTGTAAAACACACCCAGCAGTCACCTCTTCAGGCATGTCCTGTGTACAGCGCCCTATGAGCAACTGACTGAGGTTAAATGACCCTGTAGACCTCTTGTCCCCTCTCCTCCGGGCAGAAATGGATTGGCTCTCTCAGCTGTAGGAGGGAGAGTAAGTGGGTTGTGAACGTATTCAACAGAGGATTAGACACCACAATCTGTATTTCAGAGCAGCAGTCACTCCTCTGCCTGGAGCGACGTCATCATGTACAGGACCTGTCAGAATCGTACCCATATATCAAACCGCAGAATACTGTAATAGCCGTTATTCAAAGATAGCTGTTTGGGATTTTTAATTTTGCCCGTCTGTAATGAAACCGTTAAGTGCGAATGGTTTAATGGTTAAGCTTCCTCTAACATATACACAAGTCCATCACCATTATTTCTTTGTATGTTATCAGTTTTAAAATATTTTTTTTCAATGCCTGTTTTTCCATTTTAGCTCCAAATCGTCCTCCTGGCAACGTGTCATGGAAGACTCACGGCTCATTGGTAACGGTGAGGTGGGACCATGTGACAGCCATGCACAATGAGTCAGCTGTGCTGGGCTACAAAGTAAGTGCTGCTCAACTCTGTGTGTCACCTAAAAATCCAACCACGACACAAGCTTGAGCCGCAGTCTGAAAGGTGCAGCAATGGGTCATTATAGCATAAAACATCAAGAGAAGCGGATCCCTTTTGTTGTAGTTCACCTCTGCTTGGAACACAGATGGCGACTAGTTCCTGGACTTTAACGTGACTTTGTGTTCCTGTGTTCCTATGCACATGTCACTCTCTGAAAGTGCTTTCTCCTTTATTAACTCATGACAGATTTGACACTTTGAGACTTGACTGTTTTGCAAATTGGAGCAACAAATTACAAGTGAATTAGCACCAGACAAGCCTTGCCTGACTGCACACTACCTATTTTTTAGCTCTATTACTAGGACTTGGCCTTGGCTGTGTAAAAATCTATATTCACACAGGAAGGTAAATAGTTCATATGCTCTACCTTCCTATTATCTTTTATTCAGAGACTGTAGCTTTTAACTTGGTACCTCCTTGTGAGAACACCTAATTTTACTTGGACCAGTTATTAGCTTCTTTTGGCTTGAGTGCTGATGTTCTTGGCTGATGTCTTGCTTTACATAGGTCACATCGTGATACCTGTAATCTCCTCTCCATGGAAGATATGAGAAACAATAAAAAGACTTTGTGTCAAAATCAAAGATCATGTTGTAAGCCTTGTACTTGTTTATCTATGAGGCAAACATAATCAATAGAAGATAATAACTGTAAAAGTGGTTAGTTTATATATTTAAAAAATAGATAAACTGTAATAGACAATAAACAATAGGTCTACTGTCTTCTGTGTGCCAGGTCCTGTACAAACATGAGGACCAGGCAGCATTGAAGTTTCTCGACAAGGCGAAGACTTCAGTGAACCTGCCACTGCCAAAAGACAATGGTTACGTGGTATTGGAGATTCGATCCTGGGGCGAGGGCGGGGACGGGCCGGCACATGAGATTATCGTGTCCCGGGACTCAGGTGAGAAAGCCAACACCAGTGACTTCTCCACTTGACACAGTTGTTTTAGATGAAGTTTTAGAGTGAAATACTTCCTTAATAATTCACCTTTAGCCTTTAGAGGAATTACACACAATCTGAGGATCCAGAAGTCCGACCGAGACTCTACACCGGCATCAACACACCCAAACAATGTGTTTCTCATGCCAGCATTATCTAGAGGATTCTGAAACTTTAACAGACTAACACGCACACACACACACACACACACACACGCGCGCGCACACACTCTCACTAACATACTAGTCTAAACATTTGTCCTAAAGTTCTAAAGATGGCTAGTAGTTGTTCCATTATTGAAATTTTAAAGACTGCAATCTGTAAACAGGACCTGCGATGACCCCTATCACAGGGCCACTCTAGTGGCATAGGGACCAACCATGAACCACTGTGTCCTAGCTACGTCTGGTCAGGAACATTCCCTACATGCATCCCCATCATTCCTGTTGTACATTCTGTCCAATCCAGCACCCCAAAAATACATATAAAAAAAGTGATTGTGGGGTGCCCCCGTAGCTCAACCAGATAAGCCAGTGACCCATGTACAGGGGCTGTAGTCCCCGACGCAGCGGCCACGATTCATTTGTCCTTCCCCCACTCTTCTCCCCACGTTTCTCTCTCTGTCTACACTGGTCCTGTCTAATAAAGGCAAAAAGCCTAATAAAATAATATATATATATTTTTTAAAAAAGGCATTGTGAAGCAATGTGTAGTACTGTGCAAAGTTTTTCAACACTTCAGATTTTTATTCATTGACAAATAGCCAGAGCCTCTTGACCTGCCAAGTTACTTAAAAATGGCTGATGAGTTTAACTAGCAAGTGTCCATGGCATTACTTATGAAAGCATTATCACTGGTTGATGGTGCCTGAAACTGTTGTATGGTACTGTATAAATACGTATTACATACATAATATATATACATATACATATGTGTGTGTGTGTGTGTGTATGTATAGTAGGTATATTTTCAGATAATTTTCTTGAGAGACCTGGAAGATTGTGTAGTTTTAGTCATTCTAATAAATTAAATATATTTTTGGATACTTTCATCAATCCTGTTTGTCACTTGATTTGAAACTTTAGCAAAGATTTAAAAGAGATCGTCATTTTTTTCTCCACAATATGACCCTCATTGGTGTCTGAAATTAATAGACCAAGAACAAAGTTATTCTCTGTCCATTAAATACCAGGGCGGCCGTGGCTCAGATGGTAGAGTGAGGTGGTTCGATCCCCCGCTCCCCTCACATGCTGAAGTGTCCTTGAGCAAGACACTGAACCTGAAGGCAGCACCTTGCATAGAAGCTCTGTTGCCACTGGTGTATGAAAGTGTGTGTGAATGAGTGAATGAGAAAACATGCTAAAGTGCTTTGAGTACCACTGAGGCAGAACGGTGCTATATAAGTATAAACCATTTACCATTTAACTCTTTCCAATGATATTAATAATAATACTACAAAATTAGTGGAATTAAGAAAAAGTTGTCCCTTTTTTAGAGACTGGGGCCGATTATTCATCCAAGGCTGTGCTGTCGTAGAGATAACAATTAGGATATTTATCATATTATTATAATTTATTGATCATAAATGTGTCAACAGTATCTCAAGTGCAGAACACTGAGGTTCATGTGCTTTCATAATGTTATATATGTCTAGTTGGCTGGTTATAAAGATAAGATCAAGGCAATTTGTGAGGTTTATAACATTTCTGTGAATTGCTGTAAAGATAGAAATAAACACGTGATACAACAACACTTTGTGTGTCACGTAGACAGTTTTCTGGACATTGTCATTGGTCATTGGACAGAATGCTGTAGGAATACAAATATTGTCATTTGCATGGCTGGCTTTCATTTCAAGCCTTCTGTTTAGCACTTCTATGATCTTATTTTGTAAAATGTCTACAAAATTTTCTGTTCATTTTCTTTTCTTTTTCAGTTTGATGAAAGAAACAAATGATTTCCAACGCTTTCTAAACACAAACACCTACAAGAACTATGTCTAAATGAGTTCGTTCAAAACTGGTACCATGTTTTTATTTCAATCTGTAACTATCTGATTACCTGACACAAAGTTAATACTTGAAACTGCAGATATTTCTCTATAGGCTCCAGATATGTTCATTCCTATCCAGCCTCAGCTACATAGGAAGCAGTCTGTATGCCAGTTGTCCGTTCTGTGAGTATTTATGTTACATTGAAATACTTGTAAGACTGAGTTGTTAAATACTTTCTGTCTAACTCACAGGAACTGGCATGATGGTGCAGAAGGATGCCTCCTCCACACTGTCCAGCCACCCTCTCCACCTCCTCACTGGCTGCCTTCTTCTCACCCTTGTGTCGCTGTCAGGCCTGTGATCTCAGCCAGTCTGTGGACTTTTTACTGTTGATGGCTTGAAGTTGAAGCTCTCCTGTGTCTCAGTCTGTGTTTTGGGTCAAGGGGGGGGGAGGTTCAGGGGGGTTGGGAATGAGTTTTCTTTTTTATAATGATGACAAAGAGGGTCTTTTTTAAAAATGTCTGAATGGGTTAAAGGGGGAACTGTATTTGTGTACCGTTGTCAGTATAAACCATGCCTTATGGGGACCATCGCGTCTGTGGCCGACGTGTCTCATTCCTGCATTCTCCAAACCATATCTGGAGAGACACAAGCTTCAGGTCTAAACTACTCATAGACTCAATGGTGTGTATATCCTGTGTACATACAGTACAGCTGATGGAGGCCTGTGTGTTCACACTGAGAGCAACTTGACTGGCTGAGCAGTTGTGAGTGCTGTGTGAGCTGTACCTACATCTGTAATATTATCATGCATCTTTCAGTGGGGCTTCACCAAACTCTCCACTGTACAAACTTCTTGTAATGAATGCTGTTTTTCACAAACAACCTAGTGGTATATGTTCCATTCTCTCTGTTTGTTTGGTTTTTTTTTTCTCCAAAAAATGAGTAAAAAGTCAAATTGTACACAGTAGAGCATCAGGACTTCCTGCCAGAAATCACCAGCCAAAAACATACATTCATATTATTGAGACTCTTCGTCATACCTCACAGCAGTCCATGTGTGTGTACACAAGGGAGTATGATCAAGGCTTAATGCCTCATTCTACCTATCGTTGTGCCCATTTAACAGTCAACTTGTCCATTTGCTAGATTTGCCTCAAATATGTTGAAACTTCTGTGATGGATTATGGAAAGACCCGACTGGATGCCCAGAGGCTGGATGAACAAACAGGCTCTTCAGCTGTTTGACTATGTTCAAAACTAGTCAGTTTATCACATGCTGGCTGTGTAACATACACAATGCATGAATTGTGGTTCATAAGTCTTTTGCCAGAATGTTCCACAAAACCTCCACAGGAGGCAGGATAGTCTCCTCACTTATTTGTCAGCATGTAGCAGTGGTTCTGTTTTTGTCACAGTAGTGCTCCATGTGTAGATTCCATAAAACTTATACTGTGAGTTAAGCAATGCCCTCAACGACGTCAACTTCTTCACAAATTGTTTGCAGTGTTTACATCATAAAAACTCATAGATATTGGCTATTTGTCCGTCAATAAGATGCGACCGAATACTTCGGTCTCAGAAATTATGAGCATCTCAAATATATTGAATGTTAATGTGAGAACATGAGCACATTACAAAGATGTGTTTAAAGTTTTGACAAGCTAACAATACCCTACAGCAACAGTTGTTATAACGCAGCAAGATAACAGAAAAGGTCTAACATAAAATCCTTGTTCAGTCTTCAGAGAGGCAGTAATCTGTGGGCTCCAGTCATCAGCTGACTTCAGTTTGAGGTGACGGGACGCCCTCAATGTTTGACACTCTCAAACTATTTACCGCTGACTTCCTCCTAGAGGAAAGGTGGTGGATGTCCATTAATAAAACACAACTATGAAAAGGAAATGACCTCATAGATGTCCTGTGTTCTGAGACTGCATCATTATCAAGTTGCCTCAGCAGCTTCTTTTTTACATTAACAAATTTGGCAACTCAAATATGACTGATGCAGTGTTTATCCTTTGTTTCTCATTTTGATCATCTGCCTTAACTGAACTTGTTCTGACTTGCTGGTCTTGTTGCTCACAGTGTGAACGCAGAATAAGAGTCACTCACTAAAAAACTGGTTAGAGTATACTTATTTGTGCTTTTGAGTCAGCTGTAATTAGAGCAAACTTCCAAAACACTGCTCCAAACGAATGTTTCCATTTTGTATATTTCGTTTCATTTTGAGGGAGGTGAAAATTGGAATCATAAACTGTTGGGATAAAAGCATTACGTTCTTTGTTTACCTTATTTGTGCCTGCTTCCATTGAAGGATTCTTCCAGCGTCTGTAAAAATGCTTGTGTTTAGTGTTTATTGGATTTTTGTAACTGCTTTTATGCTGATAGGCTGATATGAAATGGCTGGGGCAGCAGGAAAGAATCACTGATAGACATGAAAGAGCTGGTGACCAAAGTTATCAGAGTGCAGTACACAGTGTCATATATGGTCCTCATTGTAACTCTGTCAGAATCTATCAGCTCTTAAGTAACATACCTGGTCCGCTCCAGTTACCAGGAAGGAAGTGTCTGTATTTTATGTAATTCTTATCTACAGCTTGTCAGCTTGTCAAAAGAAGACATCAAGTGCTTGCAATTTGTGTTTTACTTTTGTTGTTGCCTTAATTTTTGTGTGGTTTTTATTGTTGATACTGGTTTCTGTTGCCAAGTTAATTCACAAGTGTTTAAAGTGCAACTGATGCTTTGGGTTTAGGTTGTTGTCTAAGAGGCTTCTGAAACACGTGGTTTTCGTTTTCTGTAATTACAAAACACACACACACACAAATTAAACTACCCTGTCTTATTTAAATTCCTTTCTTAATTTTCAGTTTACATTCATGCAAGAGATAATTGCCGGTGGATAAAGCAGTATATGTCAAAACCCTCCATTATCTATACACTGCCTCATCCTCTGATGAGTCGCAGGGACGCTGGAGCCTATCCCAGCCGACTCAGGGTGAAGGCAGGAGACACCCTGGACAGGTCACCAGTCTATTGCAGGGCTACACTGAGAAAACCAAGCACACTCACATGGACAATTTAGAATCACCAGTTAACCTCAGCATGTTTTTGGACTGTGGCAGGAAGCCGGAGAACCCGGAGAGAACCCACCCTGCACAGGGAGAACATGCAAACTCCATGCAGAAAGACCCCAGGTCTATGGAGTAAACCAGTGATCTTCTAGCTGTGAGGCCACAACCGGGCTGAGGTCGATAGCAAGACTCTTCTCCTCTGTGGTTCCGCGGTGGTGGAATGAGTTACCAAACTCTGTTCCAACTGCAGAGTCCCTCTATCCTTTAAGAAAAGATTAAAGGCCCAGCTTTTCACTGAACACCTCTGCATTTGACAGACTAGGAAAGAAAAAAAAATCTCCTATTACCTCACACTGCCTGTAGGCATCAATGTTCTTTCACACTTGAACTTGTTCAGTGGCGCTTATTCAGATTATTTTCTCCTGACGAGATCCCCTGATTGTGTTGTATCTACTCTCATATTTACAGATTAAAGCGTCTGCCAAATGAAATTGTAGCACTGGAGAAACAACTGATGTCTCACACAACCACGAGAGGTCGCCTAACAATGAAACTACCGATGATGATAATAAGCTGCTGGTACAAACCACTCACGTGGACGTTGATGTGAGGACAGTCTCACTCTTAACTTCTTAGACTTTTCCAAACCCAAAGCATCGCAAGTTAGTGAGTGACAGGAAACTGCAGAATATATCCTTTCCATACACATTCACCAGTTTGTTTCCTGGTCAGCATGGATGTGTTTTTCATACGCTCAAGCAAATATATACAAAAGAAGAAAGAGAAAACTGAGACTAAATATTTGCTGGAGGCATGTTTGAAAAGGGCCAAACTCTGTGTGGGTTTGCAGAAGAGCAGCAGCTTGTAAGCTGATTTAAATAGTAACATCCTCAGTAAGTCACTAACTCTGGTCAGGGATCCAGATGAAATGTCTTTTTTTGATTGTCTGTATTTTAAAGTTTTATTTTGTTGTGTCTGAATATTTGAATGGTCTGGACAACAAAAAACACTTTTGTGTAGCATCAGTGTGAACTTTTTGCTTTGCAGGTAGTTGAATGATGGACCACTTCATTTTACAAGGATGTGTTTATTATTGTTTTTATCAGGAAACTTTATGTGTCATATTTTATACCCAAATGCTCGTACTTTGTCATTGGACTTCTTTTAGTTTGGGTGTGGATAACCGAGGTAGTGGGTAAACCTTGTAAAGTTTTCTATTTAGGCTGGAAATCAGTAAGTCCAAACATGAATTTCACTTTGTAGGAGGTCAGCTGTAGACGGCTAACATTATCATTTATGTTCACATGGTCTTTATCACTAAAAACTATGTTTACATTTGGGTTAGATGAGACCAGTTAGGAGCTAACTAACATTTTGAAGCGATACTGTGGCTTTTGTTTTAATGTCTCATCATGGTTTACACATCGAGGTGTGGTGTCAAAACATTACTCGCCAAAACCTAAATTTAAAAATGTCACCGTTTTTCACTTTAATATGTCAAACATCACAGCGCTGCTTATCTCTGCACGAGTGGAAATGCTTTCAGAACCACTGAATCACATCCTGGTTTGTGTTCTTGTGCTTTACTCTGTACAAAGTATTGTCTCAATGCCTTTAGTGTTCACTGCACAGCCCATGAACTCATCTCATTGCATCTGTGTGCCCAATCACTCAGTGTTCTGTCTGGACTGGACTGGCTGATTTCATCACTCCCATGAGGTGGTAACAGCGAGTCTGTGTTCATGTTGACTGAAATATGCCGGATAATGTTGCCTTTGGGCCTTTGCAGAATTGCGATTGAATGGCAATGGGCAAGAGGGGTGCTTCTTGTAAATATTGATTTAAAATAAACACCTTGGGATTGTATTTCAATAACGTGTGCAGTTACTCAGTTCACAGTCACATTACTGATTGACACACAGCAAGTCATGCTGACATTTTGCCTGTTCTTATACCACTGAAAATGAATAAATGCAATTATTTATTTATTTGGATTTATGCTCTAGGGACTCTTCAAATGTGGAGGAATTCTCACAAGTAGTGTTTTAGTAATTAATCTATGTTTTCTGAGGAAAAGATCACCAAAGCCATGAGTATAGAGACCATAAATATCCACAGCAATATAACCAGTACTTTAGCTCTACAATAAATAAAGAGAGATTTTGTGTTCATATTAAAAAGTAACACATACACTAGCTACAGCTGTCTAAGATGAACCATATTACAACAATTCTGCAGCAAATCCTTCCTTAATGATGGTTGTGTTCCTGTAACAGTATGTGTGCTGTTGTTATTGTGTCATATAGAGAAATATTTCTGTCATTTAGCCCATCCTCACCGACATACACTTAAAACTAGAAGTTCACATACACTTTATAAAAAGACAACTTTTTTTCTCACACTATCTGACAATAAAGGTGACTAAACCTTTCCTGTTTTAGCTCAGTTAGGATTACCGCAATGATTTCTATTTGCTAAATGCCAAAATAAAGAGAGAGAATTTTTATTACTTTCTTCAAAATCAGAAGTTTACATACATTTCCTTAGTATTTGGTAGCATTGCCTTTTAAACTGTACGACTTGGGTCAAACGTTTTGGGTGTCCTTCCACAAGCTTCTCACAAGTTCATAATAGTTTGCTGGAATTCTGACCCATTCCTCCTGACAGAACTGATGTAACTAAACTTCTGGTTTCAACTGTAAATGGTGTGGGTAAAATAAAAAAACCTGTCAACATACCACAAAGATATAACTGTAAAACTGCATCTTCCTAAATTATGTAACACCTTTAACACCATTAATAGCGATCAACAAAAACTGAGCATCTTGAACTTCTTGACTGGCCCCAAATCTTTCTGAATTGGGACATCAAAAAGATAGGAAAGCATGTGAAGCACTTTGCTTTTTTTAAAACGTTTTTTTAAACGCCAATATGTGACCAGATTGTAATACTTTAAAAATGAGATCCTCATCTGACCATCTTGGTAGCTGTTCCCAACACAAAAACAAGAAAAATAAAGCCTGTCTGATCACATATGGATGAGACCAACATTAGGAAAAACTGGGGTCAGCACTGGCAGCGCTGATGGAGGTACAAAACAGAGAAAAACACAACATTAATCAAAGTGAAGTCTTACATAACCAGACCTATCTCCACCCTTTGTGTTAGCAAAGTTACCTCATCTACCAACATGATGCCGCTCAAAATTCCTAGGTTTTTAATCCTTCTCACCTCAGAAGAATGACCACATAGGGTTTCTGGTTGTCTGAACTCTGGAATTTAGTCTTTCCACTATGATCAACATTACTGAAACTCAAGAGCAATAACACTATTTACAGTGTATTGTAGTGTCTATGACTGGAGTCCTTGCTGTCCTTTAATTTTTACTTATCATATTCCCTCTTGTACTCAGGAACATTAACTACAACTTAAGCTGACACATTTGTGAGCTCAGAGCAGGTAATTGTCAGAAACCTACATCAGCTGTGCAGCCGTACTGTGGTTTAATAAAGGGGTACTCCAGCTATCCAGGTTTCTCACTCTGGATCAAAGTATGTGGAAAACATAACTAGGATGATCCATTAACCTGATCATAAGTAGTATACTTGTATGCATGTAAAGACATTGACAGTTGCTCAGGTGCTAAGAGATCATCAACAAGAACTACTGATTCCAGACTGTACTGCAGAGATCCTGTTTACAAAA